TGTCAACCGTTAAGCTAACCACTTTATCATCTAAATGCCATTGATTAAGAAATATAAAAATCTCTTCTGAGATCCTTTGTCCATCAAAAGGGGGTGACAATGATGTGAACTTAATAATATTTTTATGAAGTTTGCAATCATGATCAATAAAATAGGCGGTTATGCAAATGTAATGTTGCCAAGTATGTGATGATTTCCAATTATCAGTTGTTAAACATATTCGCTCACCTTTACAATGCTTACAAATAGCGATTCGCTCACCTTTTGCATTCTTTCCTTTTGTCATTTCTCGCTAAATTTTGGATTTCCTACTCCTTTTACGCTTACGGGCGGCATTAGATTCAGCAACCTCATCATCTACCAGCATTGACGTTGTAGTTGCTGTGAGAAAGTTAAAGAAAGTATAGGATGAGAGCAATATAAGGAGGATAATAGGGATGTTTATCTTTGTTTAGTTATTGCTAATTAGAGGAAACAATATTAGTGATTGTTAGAGAAACAATGTGAACCATTGTTTTATTAGCTTTGTATTCATTATAAATGTGAATAATCAAAATGCAGAAATATAATGTAATCATTTTATTTCACGTCAAAGGTTTATTAGCTATACGAAAGTATATTTTCTTATATTTATTATTACCTTCATAGTGGTTATTTGTTTATCCCAAAATATTATTTATCTATGTGAGGTATCGATTTTATATTATCTAGTAGAAGCCACATTTCCGCTGCAAGAGCTCTAACAATTGGACAGAGCCGACGTCAAAATCTTAAGTGGTAAAAAAAATTTTGGATTTGAAATTAATTATAATGGCATCTACTAGCGGAATGGTTAAAGTTGGGAAATATGAAATAAAAAAATTCAGTGGAAAAAATGATTTTTCCTATTAGAGGATGCAAATAAAAAAAATTTTGTATCACAAAAGTTGCATAAGGCGTTGGCGGGAAAAGAACAAAAACCCGGGGACATGAAGGATGAGGATTGGGAAGAGTTAGATCTTGAAGCACGAGCGGCTATAATATTATGCCTTGAGAGGGACGTTGCATTCTTGGTAAATGAAGAAGCAATGGCCGCCGGGGTGTGGACAAAGTTAGAGACTAATTTCATGACAAAAACTCTAACAATAGGATCTACTTAAAATCCAAATTGTATACATGCAAGATGGATGAAGGCACCTCAATCCGAAGTTTGATAGGATTAACGTGAAGGTAGATGAGGAAGACCAAGCACTCATGTTATTGGTTTCATTACCGAAATCATTTGAAAATCTGGTTCAAACATTGATGCTTGTGGGTGATACTCTAACTATGAAATCCTCGACAGTGGTACAAGCGATTTGATTCTTTTATGTTAAAGCAAGGGTTTTCCAGAAGTAATTATTATTGTTGTGTATACATTCACAAACTTCGTGGAGGTGATTATATTTATCTTCTATTATATGTGGACGACATGCTTATTGCTTTTAAGAGCAAGGTGAAGATAAATAGGTTAAAAACTCAATTCGGTGAAGAGTTTGAAACTAAAGACTTGGGCACTGCAAATAAAATACTAAGTATGGAGATTAGAAAAGAAAGGTCAAATCGAAAATTGTTCTTGAGCCAAAAAGGCTACAATGAGCGGGTTATAGAAAGGTTTGGGATGAAAAGTGTTAAGTCAGTGATGATACCATTGGCTCCACAATTTAGACTCTCTGGTAAACAATCTCCCACTACAGCGGAAGATAAGGCATACATGGATAATGTACCTTATGCTAGTGCAGTTGGCTGCTTAATGTACGTCATGGTGTGTACATGTCCAGACATTTCACAATGTTGTTAGTAGATTCATGGCGAACCCAGGTAAAGCACATTGGGAAGCAGGGAAATGGATTTTACAGTACTTGAAAGGCACCAATGATACATGTTTATGCTTTAGTGGAGATACATGTCAAATAAGTGGCTCGTTAACTCGAATTATGCCGGTGATCTAGATAGAAGACGATCTACTACTGGTTATGTGTTTAAAATACATGGTGCTCCAGTTAGTTTGCGATCAATGTTACAAGCTACGGTGGCTCTATCTACGATGGAAGCCGAGTATATGGCTATGACAGAAGGAGTTATGGAAGCATTGTGGTTGCGGGGACTTCTAGATGATTTGGGGTTGAAGTAGAATAGTGTGAATCTAAGCTGTGATAGCCAAAGTGCTATTCACTTGGCTAAGAACCAAGTTCATCATGCTCGTACCAAACATATAGATGTCAGGTATCATTTTTACGGGATATCATAGAGGAAGGTAGTATTTCTCTTATGAAGGTGCATACAAATGAGAATCCTGCAGACATGTTAACCAAAGTCGTCTCGGGAAGCAATTTCCAACACTGTTTGGAATTGCTAAATATTGTCCTATGTTAGACATTACATGGATAAATAAATGGAACTACGATTGGTTTGATCCTGACCGAGGGTACGTAGACAGTCATTATAAAATGGTGCAACCGGATACGGATAACTGAAATTCGTTTGTCCAAAATTTGAATGTTTTCTAATTTTGAACGAGGTGGAGAATTGTGAGAAAGTTAAAGAAAGTATAGGATGAGAGCAATATAAGGAGGATAATAGGCATGTTTATCTTTGTTTAGTTTTTGCTAATTAGAGGAAACAATATTAGTGATTATTAGATAAACAATGTGAACCATTGTTTAATTAGCTTTGTATTCATTATAAATGTGTAGAATCATAATGCAGAAATATAATGTAATCATTTTATTTCACTTCAAAGGTTTATTAGCAATACGAAAGTATATTTTCTTATATTTATTATTATTTTCATAGTGGTTATTTGTTTATCCCAAAATATTATTTATCTTTGTGAGGTATCGGTTTTATATTATCTAGTAAAAGCCACATTTCTGTTGCGAGAGCTCTAACAATTGTTTCACTTTCCATGGTTAAAAATACTGCAAAAGTAGGTAAAAGATTTGAGATTGAATCTCGTCTACATTATCTTGTTTGTACATTTCATAGAGATGCACTAATCAACAGTATATATTGAACCAATTTAAGTATAATGAGCCTAAAATCAAGCTTAAAGTGAGAAAACGGACACTAATGTTCACTGTAGTCTCATCTAATGTAAAAGATGAACGTCTTTTTAAAGGGTAAAGTTTGATGTTATTCGATTAATCAATGAATGGTCTGGCAGTCTGGCTAAATCAAATTGGCATTTGTTTTATTTGATGAGAAAACAATAATTTCCGTACTTCCGAGTAAAAAATAACTAATGTCTTAAAAGATAATGATAGCCTTACAAACACATTTAGCAGTTCAATGCATACATTTTGTGCTAGGTCATTTAAAAACACAAATCAAATTTGGAACAAATAAATTTAGACAAGAGAACAATTTATCACAATTCAATCAACACTAGACTTGAACCTGATTTAAAGTTGCCCCAATTTGACCCTACCCTATCATGAACTGAATAACTGTAGTAAATCAACCAATTAAAGCATAATCAACCTTATAAACCACTAAGGTCCAGTTTGGCAAAAGTAGCGGTAGCGGGTAGCTTTTAGCGGTCAATTAGTAGTAGGTAGAGGTTAGCTGTCGAGATAAAGGTTAATAGTATGAGTGTCAAAAGTAGTGGTTGCAATAACAAAATATATTAAAATTGATATAATAATTGTTTTAAAAGTAATAAAAAATTGACCAGGCCGTTCGAGTTTTGCATTGCAGATCTGTCTCCCACGGGATGCACACGCCCTCCACTCGGGTACGTACAAAAAACCCCAAAACACTACCCGCTACTTCTCAACGCTATTATTTTTAACGTTTGAGAAAAGCTACCTAAACGCTATCTCTATCGCTTACCGCTACTAGAATCGCTACCTTACCAAACAATCTTAAATTTTTTCTGGTAGTGTTTTGACCGATCAGAACACTAATCGCTATCTCAAACGCTACTACCAAACAGGACCTAAATTGAGGAGGCGATAGTCAATTAGCATTCAAACTTCAAAAAATATTATATAATTTAAAATCCAAGCACAAAATCAATAGATTCGTACATTATTAAGAGCGGCAAGCAAGAACACATAAATTGACATAAAAACAAACGAATTTAGAATTTAATACACAAAAACATACCTTGGTAGTTGAAGATTTAGAGTGGCGAGCAAGAAGAAGCGTGATAAATTGTAGATTAGAATTTGGGAATTTTTTTTGGGTTCATAATTTGGGGGAAATAGGGAATTTTTGAAATTGACGTTAGGAAGTTTTAGAAAAAAACAGAAAAATAAGGATACAAAAAGCCTCTTAAGTGTTACCCAATTTCAGCCCTTTTTAACTTTGACCTAACCCCTTAAAAACCCATTATTTAATAGCCCTTTAAAAGCCCACCCCATTTAAATGTTGGATGGGTAAAACCCTTTTATAAAAGGGTTGGCAGGGCTTTAAATGGGCCCTTAACCCATTTAACAGGTCTACCAAGGGGTAACTACGGAAGCTAAGAAGAAAGCTTAAAAGAAATGAAATGTTTGTTGTTTATTGATATCTTCCTTTGATCTTTACGCTTCTATTTATAAGCAAAATGGAGCGGTTATGGCTGACTCCCATAACTGTTGTGCGGTTATGCTTTCTTGGCGCCAACTCTCTTTAAATTTTAAAATATCACTTGTCTCCAAACCGGCTTTAGCATTGGGCTTTTGTATGATATTATTCCAAATTCCTGTTATACCTCTACTAGTTCATCCCAAAGGCTTTTGCCGACTCTAAGACCCATTTTACTTGTCAAAGTCAAGAAAGTCAATAAAAAGTCAAAATTCTGAATTTTGGGTGTAACACAGTCACAAACAAATTTTGCCTAGGAGTATGTGTGCCCTTTAAAGTTATAAATAAAATGAAATAGACGTAGTATTTTGTTTGAATAAAACTATGTTTAGGAAGTTGCTTATAACTAAATTGTTGAATATGATTATGAAAATTGAAATATTTTAACTTCGTGTTTCTGTTTGTTACAGATTTCTGCACAAAATTTGACTATGAAGCGTCTTCGAGGATATGAGATTAAGGTACTCATTAGAAATAAAATTGCATATTAACCTAGTGTTTTTAAATCTGCCTAATTGAGTAACTCTTAAAAATCCTAGCCACCTTATCTAATAACAAAGCTAAATAAGTGGCTTTTATAAAAACAAAGAGACTTATAAAAATATCCTTGGAATCTTAAAAAATAAACGATGATCATATATTGATTAAATATTCAATACATAATTTCAAATTTTTTATTATAAATGGATAGATTACACAGTTAAAAAAAAAAACTATAAAAGAATTCTTCGAGTTTTCATACTTTGAAAGCGTGCTAATATATTATTACTTCTATAAATCTATAATTCTATTGCAAAAAATCAATATTATTACACATAAAACAAAAATTCCAAGTCCCCAATAAACACAAATTTGACAATGTAAACTTCTTCTAATTATCAATTAAAAGACCAAGTAAAAATTTTAAATTCTAAGTTTCTATAATTCAATTTGTCAACAATTCAAGTGTTCAACAATATATCAAAACTAATTAAACAAGTCAGTAATTAATCCAATTATCACTAAATTACAAACAAATAAAGATTTAAGAATTAAGAGGAGTAGAGGAATAAGAGGACTGTTGAAACTAATACTAAAGGATAAAAAATAATAATATTAGATAAGTATGAAGCAAGTAAAATAAGGAACTCAATAATATTTTTTCATGCTTAACTCACGAAATACAAGAGCCATATATATAGGCTAACAAACAACAAATAATAAGCTAAAAAGTGGAAACTGTTATAAAAGTAATGGTATAAAGAGAGTGTAGAGGAGAAATTATAGAAAGAATATTAGGGAGAAGATATTGTATATTATTCTTATTATTCTCTACACACTTTGATGGGGAGTACATCTATATATATATACACAATGCTAGGCGAATGAAAAGTCTAGCTAGTTACGTGAAAAGAAAATAGAATGTGGAAAGACTTAGTAATACAAAAAGGTTTGGACATTTATCTAATCCTTCACATTCTAGAATGGACATCCACACGCTATTAAATACTATTACATAACAGAAACATAATGCCATGATTTAACCCACTACCAAACCCATTAACTTCTAAATTCATTTGACTCTCTAACTTAACGGAATGACCAACATAATACCCTAAAATTACTGATCCAACTATGGACAACTTCCTAAATTATAGCTAACTTCTCATGCGTGCACACAACCCACTATTTTAAATGAGGGCAGCTGGAATCGAACCAGGACCTAAGTGGAGCCTCGCCGCTCTATAAATCACTCCCTTACCAATGCACCAAACTTGCACATTTGATTATTTACCTCACAAAAATTTATTTAACCTTATTTTTAAAAAAAAAAAAATTAAAACTTATAGTTTATTTTTAAAAAAACTGTGGGTTCAATGAACCCCCCTTGTATCCGCGCCCCTGTTGTCATAAAAGCATTGCGTCACCACTTCTCCCTCCTTATGCTTACCATGTCCTCAAAATTGAATCTTTGTCTTAAAGATACTAACATTTGTTATATGTTAGCAACAACTGTTTCAATGCAATTGTTATATATTTTCCATTATAGGTGTTATTTGCTCTTGCTTATCCTTATATACAAGAAATTCTAAAGATTTATTTGTGGTGTTTGTGGATATAATTAAAGTGGAGATATTTTCTTATTTTTGAATTTTGGGACTTGGGAAATGTAACAAATATATTATATGAACAAATTTGAAAAAATCAACTACAATTGATATAAAATATAGGATGTTTTTATTTTAACAACCTTTTTGAATATTACTCTATAGGATTTACTACCTTAGTAACTTTTTTTTAGTACTATACTCTTTTTTTTTTAAATTCGCGAAGTTTTTCTACCTATGATCATTTTCTGGCCAAATTCCGACCACGTATGACCCACTCTCCGTGTTTTTCTCCCTTCCCTTTTTGTTTGATTTTCAATTATAAAGAGATCCAAAACCCCCCTTATGATGAATTTAAACCCAAAACTCAGTAAACATAATCTATAATGCGACATGAGCTTCATACCATCCACCTCCTTGTTTTTACTCAATTTTTACCCCAAAATCATAATTCACAACTATTTGCAACATTAACCAAGTTCGAATTTTAAAAATCATATAAATCGAAGAAAACCCCAATTTACATGCCACCATACCTTAAGGTTTCGAATGGGATGAAAGTCGGTCATTTTGACCTAAGAATAGTATTTCCTCCATTTTTTTATTTTTTAATTATTAATTATTTTTTTTATTTGCACCATATTCTTTTTTAGGAAGTTGTTTATTAATTGCATTATTTCCTTATAAGGTATGTTTTTAAACACTTTTTTTTTTGTGTTTGCACATCAAATACTCATCTTACCATTACCCACATTAAAGTTTACCCTTCTACATCACTTTTATACTCTTTCATTAGTTTGTAGTCAAAGGGGCATTTGTGATGAAAAATGACTGCAATATGAAGTTAATTAAAGGTTTGGTAAGAGTTGATTTTTTAATTTGACTAAACTTTGACTTTTATTGCATTTTAATGTATAAGAAAAAGGAAAATTTGTCGAGAATAAGTAAATTTTTGCGTGACTAGCTCAAAATAAGTTAACTTTTCTGTTTCGGGTTTTTTGTGTCACCAAAACTGGATTCCCTTCGCTTGTACTTGCAAAATAACGGAAGCTCTGGTTGTGCGGTGTTCTGCCTCCAACGATCAAGTTAGAAACGTTCGAAAAAAGGTAAAAGTGCGGAAAGTAAAAGTAAATCTTTTCGGATTCCGAGATCTGGTGTTTTTGATAAAGGACAATAAGAGAGCCACCCCAAAAGCTAGCTCAAGGGGAGGAGAGTCCATTGACCTTTATAAACCCCACATCAGCCCCCCATATGACCGATATGGGACTCAAGTCCTATACTTTGCAATGGACATCCCTATACATTCATCCCTCTTTAAAGGACCGCGTCCTTGTTGGTCACGGCCACGTTTGGTCACGGCTGGCTTCTTCTAGGCCACCAATTCCTTGGGCCACAAACTCCGTGGGCCACCATTACGAGGTCGGCTCTGAGACGCATCTCAAATAAGTTTCCAGACACCTATTCACCACTTCTGTCCGGATGGTAAGCTGAAGATATCATAAATTCTGTACCATGTAAGGAGAACATCCCTTTCCAAAATTGGCTAAAAAAATATCATCCTTGTCACTGACGATGCTTCTCGGCCACCCATGTAACTTGAAAACCTTGTCTAAATAAGTTTCAGCAACCTGTACTGCTGTAAAAGGATGAGGTAAAGGAATAAATTGAGCATACTTTCTCAGTCTATCCACTACTACAAAAAACACCTCTTTACCCAAAGACTTAGGCAAGCTACTGATGAAATCCATAGAGATATTTATCCAGACTTCCTCGGGAACAGGCAAAGGTTGTAAAAACCCCTGGTTTTGCAGCATGATCATACTAAAAAGTTTGACAAATTTGACATTTTCTCACAAATATTCTAACATCCTTAGTAAGGCCCTTTTAATAAAATAATCTTTTGATTCCCTTGAGAGTTACTTCCCTCCCTGAGTAACCATATTCTGGTGAGGCGTGTATCCATTGCAAAAAGTTTTCCTCTGAGATTCTCATCTGGTCCAACCAATATCTTGTCTTTTCTTCGCAACATCTGGTCTTGTATTCTGAAATTTTGAACCCATTCACAGCTTTGTAATTGCTGCAAAATAGACACAAAGTTGGGGTCTAGCTGGTAACCTGCTTTGATTAATTCTACCACATCAGATGAAACTACAGAAATTGACATGTATGACATCTCTGCTCCTTGAACTCTTGAAAGTGCATCTGCAGCTACATTTTCTTTGCCACTCTTGTATTGAATCTCGTAATCAAATCCCATCAACTTCGATAGCCAAAACTGTTGAAATGGAGCTGAAATCTTTTGTTGCAGCAACCATTTTAAGCTTTTCTGATCTGTTCTAATTATAAAATGACCAGCAATCAGATACTGCTCCCATTTTTTAACAGCAAACACAATAGCTACAGTCCTTTTCATAAACTGACAATTTCTGCCACCTTGGACCCAAGGATCTTCTGATAAAAGCAAGAGGGTGATCTTTTTGCATGAGAACAGCACCAATACCCACTTTAGAAGCATTGGTTTCCAGCACAAAAGGTACGGCAAAGTCTGGAACAGCCAAAACAGGAGCAGAAGTTAAGGCTAATTTGAGAGCTTCAAAAGATTCCTGAGCCTCTTCACTTCAAACAAAAGCTTCTTCTTCAAGAAGATTTGTCAATGCCTTGCTAATGACAGCATAATTTCGAACAAATTTTCTATAACAACTAGAAAGTCCTAAGAAGCTCCTCAACTATTTGACTGTAAAAGGGAAGGGCCAGCTTGCAATAGTAGATATTTTCTTTTGATCAGTTCCAACACCTCTAGCAGAGATAAAGTGACCCAAATACTTTACCTTGTCAGCTGCAAATACACACTTACTAGCCTTGGCATACATCATATTTTGCTGCATCAAACTAAATACCAAATCCAAATGCTTCCAATGTTCAATTAAATCCCGACTATATACCAATATATCATAACAAAAAACTAAGACACATTTTCTCAAAAGTGGCTTGAAGAAAGTATTCATAGTGACCAGTATGAGTTTTAAAAGCCGTCTTGAATACATCATCATAATGCACTCTCAACTGATGATATCCTGCCCTAAGGTCAAGCTTAGTAAACACTGCTGCCAGACTAATTCATCAATTAGCTCCTCAATCACTGGAATAGGGAATTTATCTTTTTCAGTTCTTCTATTCAATTCTCTATAATCCACACACAACCTCCACATACCATCTTTCTTTCCCACCAACACCACAGGAGAAGCAAATGGACTTGAGCTATTTTGTATAATGCCTCTTTCCATCATTTCTTGGATCAACTGCTCAATGATATCCCTTTGTTTCAAAGAATATCTATATGGTCTAATGTTTACAGACCAGCACCAACTTCAAGT